CGTCTGCCTAGAACACGCCCTTTAACATCGTCAAATCCTGCATTAACCCCTGCTAAAAACATAAAAACACGATCAATTTCTTCCCTTTTTTTAAACCTAGCAAGGTCTTTGGGATTCTCCCATTCGTCATTATAGCAAAGGTCTAATTCCTGCCAAAGTGCCAGCATCCTGTTGTAATACGTGGTGATATCGGCCTCCCCCTGCTTGGAATTCCACAGCCGAGTCTTCAATTCATAGGCTTGTGAATAATTTTCCAGGTCCGAGTAGGTTTCACGCACGGCCTCCCATACTTCTTGGGCTGACATGAACAGGTATGGCTTCCGGATTGATTCCTCCATGGAATTGAGAAGCCATGTAGTGATGAGTGAGTTTTCAGACCTCCACTTTCGGAATGAAGAGTCAGAATCCTTAGGTTTTGGTTCCTCCCCTGTAAGAAACCCTAGTTTTCCTCGGCCATCTATGGCTAGTTTTACCGATTGGGCCCCTTCTAAGAAATTCCTTCCATTTAATCGTACGGTAGTAATTTGAATGGAAGCATTGGGGTTGAAATCAGCATTATTAGAGGCAGAGGATACGGTTTGGGTTGAAGGAAGGTTTTCTGGATTCTTGGCCATGGCGGACAGAGATAAGTCCTAAACCAGGCTCTGATACCATATTGAATTATGTACATTAATTAATTAATTAATTAGGAGATATTGTTTAAATTAGGAGATATCGCATATCTCTCCATATCGCATATCTCTCCTAGTTTAGGGGGCAGTTCCTATTTCTTAGGAAAGATTCTAGGAATATCTTGAGGATAGCTTCTCTATCCTATTAGGGTTAGTTTCCCGGATTCACTAAGCCAAGGGAACTAGGTCCTTTTGTATCCTATTTATACTCCGGTTTTGCACCAATTAAATCAAGAAAGGATTTATATTTTTCTCCTCAGAAACTTACATGGTATCAGAGCGGGAGGTCCTGAGTTCAAAACCCCGTAATTGCACTCTTTATCCCCATTTAAAATTGTCATCATGTGTTGGGTCTTTAATATATATCGGGCTTAAATATTCACGTGTTGGGCTTTCTAATTAATTTACCCACATGATTGCCCATTGTTCAACCCACACGTGAAGGGGAGTGTTAAAGTATAAAACTATTGTTGGTCAACCTCCTAATAGTTTAAGCTTTTGGGATGGATTGGTAAACTAACATGGTATATCTCGATGTTAGCTGTGTCCTATATGAATTCACTAATCACTGTATTTGTAGCGTGTTGCTTTTGTCAATTTGCTTAAGCTCTTTCTATATGAGTCTTTGAAAATCTATAACTATGCTTGGACTGTAGGATATGTACAAACTGCGAGTGTTATTTAGCATTTTATTAGCTTCTAGTCGTCTCGCAGGATAATGCTTCCATGCTATTCTTTGAGTAACTTGTGAGAATGCCATTTCTTTCTTCATTTGTTGCTTGCTTTAGTTCTCTATGTATGAGTTAAGACCACATCTCTGGACATGTGTGAGCCAGTGAGCCTGCTTAATGCATTCTTGGGGTTTTACTTCAGTTATTGTGATGGATATACTTAACTGCGTAACAGGAATCACAATTTCTTGTTCAAACAGGTTACCATTGATCAATCTCAGCCTTTCCAAAGGAACGGTGCTATTGCATTACTTTTTGGTGCATTTTACTTGCTTAGTAGGTATGCTACACATTGCACCTGGGTCACATCAGAGGCATACTCATCTCCTTCCATTGTCTTGGCTGCGAGGGGTGCCCATGGTAACAGAGTAATTTTTGATGATTATCGCGAGGCATACTTTTGGCTTCGTCAAAATACTCCTCCAGATGCTAAAGTGATGTCATGGTGGGATTACGGATATCAGATCACCGCAATGGGAAACAGAACTGTTATAGTCGACAATAACACCTGGAACAATACACACATTGCTACTGTCGGACGTGCAATGTCATCGTATGAAGATGAAGCATATGAGATAATGAGATCGCTCGATGTTGATTATGTATTAGTTGTATTTGGTGGTGTTACCGGTTATTCCTCTGATGACATTAACAAGTAAGGACACGTAAACTTAAAAGGATTACATCTTCAACTATTTTTAGACCATCTCATATTTGGAAAAGCCTATTTGGAAGCTTCTACCTATTTTTATTTTCAAATTCAACTTGGAAAATCTAAGTAGAAGTAAACACCTGATGCCCCTTGTCATTGAATTCTACTCATTTTTTTAGAATGATTAAAGAAGTCTTCTTTTGATCTTGCTGCTTCTTTATGTCAAGAGTTTAGGATTTATGTTGAGATCATCAGAAATTGACGACGGTGGATTCTGTTATCCTTTAAAGTTGGCTACTTTTAGTTAATGAATTTTTTGCACGATATAGGTAAAAGCTCACCCGTACTTAAGATAAATGATCACATCTAAGTTGTTCTCAGTTATGGATTCTTACACAGTACTTGTCTATACTACTATGCAATTTCTGTAAAAGATTTTCTTTTGCTTCTTATTCACTTCTTCATATAGTTGTAATTTAATGCAATGTGAGGAAATTTACTTCATGATAGGTTTTTGTGGATGGTAAGAATTGGAGGGGGAGTATTTCCTGTGATTAAGGAGCCCGATTACCTTGTTAATGGCGAGTATCGTGTTGACAAAGGTGCAGCTCCCAAGATGTTGAACTGTCTCATGTAAGTCTCTCACCATTTAGATTTGCATATTGAAAACTGTGCAGGCCATTTTTTTTTTTTTCAAAGATGAAACGCCTTCCTTTTTTATTCATAATAATATATAGAAAATTAAACATGATTAGAGAACGAAAAACATGAGAAATATTTTTCATATTTGCCGTCCCTTTTTTATTTATAATTCTTTAATCTAATCCTTGAAGAACTTCTAGAAACCATATCTAGGTCCTAACTGTTAGAGCTATGTCCATTTTTGCTATTTTTAACGTAAGAATTAAATATAGGGTAAATGTTGGATTGCTCCAGAAAATCATCTATGCATTTCTTCAGCATGCTCTTTCTTCTTCAGATCTCACGTGCCCATATGCTATATGTGTTAACAATATGGGTGGATGGTTGGATTTGTTTATTAGATAAAAGAATTACATTTCATTTAATTGGTTGGTTTGCAATCTTTCTATTCTGTCACTTTCAGGTCATTGTTATAATGATAGGATCTTGTTAGTTAGTGATAAGCTCTGGGTTGTTTGAACAAGAACTACGAGAACTAATTGCGAATTCGTAAGAATGAAGAAAGAATCAAAGAAAGATTATATTGACAACAATCACTATACACTGAATGGCAGAACTTCGAGAGTCTGCTTCCTCCCATTGCTTGGAATTGTTCCAAGACTTGTTCACTTTCTGTTTATTTCCCGATAACCGCTTTTCCCTCCTCTTTCCCCTTTTATACAATTTCCTTCTAACCACCCAACTTCCCCCGTAAGCTAACTAATACTAACATTTCTAGCTAAACCACTAATACCGTACTACCACAGCCACTAAAGACAACTGTCCCTGCCTAGACTCTTTTATTCCTACTAACATACACTTGCCTGATTAAGGGCTTATCAATTACACCCCCCTTAAAAACGTCACCTTGTCCTCAAGGTGAAAAGCTGGAAACTGGCGCGGAATCACCTCAAACAGCTCCCAAGAAGATTCAAAGTCCGGAAGGTGGCGCCACTTGATTAAAACCTCCAAAGACCTAGTGGCAGGGGAAAAACGAGTATCCACGACCTGAGCGGGTTCCACCTGCAACGTCAAATCTTCTGATAAGATTGGAGGTAAAGATTGGGGGATATCCACCGGCCCAAGTGCCTTCTTCAAGCGGGACACATGAAAGACGGAATGAATCCGAGCGTGAGAAGGAAGGAGCAACCAGTACGCCAATGGTCCAACTCGAGCCAGGATCTGAAACGGCCCATAATAGCGAGGGGCAAGCTTTTCATTCCTCACTCGTGCCAACGCTCGGTGACGATACGGCTGGAGCTTCAAATAAAACCATGTCCCCTACCTCAAATTCCACAGAACGACGCTTCCAGTTTGCATGGTCTCGCATAGACTGTTGGGCGCGTCCCAAATGGTCCTTCAATTCCGTCAATAGTGCATCACGGTCGCATAGCTGTCTCTCCAACTCTGACGTGGCTGTAGAACCGGCCTCATACGGCACCAACTGCAGAGGATCTCGACCATAGAGAGCTTTGAATGGCGTCATGGCAGCCGAGACATGGAAACTCATTGTACCAATACTCCGCCCACGAAATATGTGTAAACCACTGTCTAGTTTGGCCAGAGACAAAGCAACGCAAACAAGCCTCCAAACAGCGGTTTACGACCTCCGTCTGGCCATCCGTTTGTGGATGATACGCCGTACTCCGGCACAAGGTAGTGCCCTGCAACCTGAAAAGTTCCTTCCAAAATTGGCTCATAAAAACCTTGTCCCGGTCGGAGATGATGCTCTGTGGAAACCCATGCAGGCGCACGATGTCACGGACAAGCCACGGTATTGGCTGAAAATGGGTGTTTTAAGCCAATGAAATGGCCGTACTTACTGACGACAACCAAAATGGAATTATACCCCGCAGATCTTGGTAAACCCTCAATAAAGTCCATGGAAATATCATCCCAAACCCGGTTGGGTATAGGCAAAGGCTGCAACAATCCCGCCGGAGACAAGGTGGACGTCTTATGTTGCTGACAAATGGCACAAGCAGCCACAAAAGTCTCAACATCCTTGCGCATTCCCCTCCAGAAAAATTCCAAAGCCAGCCGTTTGTATGTCTTTAAGACCCCCTGAATGGCCGCCTATCTTACTACTATGAAACTCTCGTAACAAGATTGGAATTAGTGGAGGAACGACCAACCTTCCCTTGTAAAGTAGATGCCCCCTTTGAAGAGTAAACCCCGTCAAAGAGTGCGTTCCTGCCAACAGCCCCTCCATGGTTTTGTTGAGCTCCGGATCTGCCTTAAGCTGCCGCTACAACTCCTCAATATCGAGCACCATTAGAGTAGTCATGACCATCAAAGCCAGCCCCGCTTGTTGTCTCGAAAGGGCGTCTGCCACCCTGTTTTCTGGCCCCGGTTTGTACTGTATCTCGAAATCATAGCCAAGCAATTTGGACAGCCACCGTTGGTGCTCCACACTCACCAAGCGCTGTTCCAATAAGAACTTCAAACTTTTTTGATCGGTGCGCACCAAAAAACGCCTTCCCAACAAATAAGGTTGCCATTTCTGAATGGCTAGCACAATGGCCATTAGCTCCCGCTCATAGACCGATTTGGCGCGAGCACGCGTCGAGAGGACTTGGCTAAAATAAGCGATGGGCCGCTGCTGTTGCATCAAAACTGCTCCTACCCCAAATCCCGAAGCGTCTGATTCCACCACAAAAGGTTGAGAAAAATCTGGCAAAGCCAATACTGGAATCTCAGTCATAGCTTTTTTTAAGCACTGAAAAGCCTCAGCCTCCGAATTCCAATGAAAAACGTCCTTCTTAAGTTGCTACGTCAACGGCCACGCAATATGCCCATACCCAGCCACGAACCTACGGTAGTACCCCGTTAGACCTAAGAATCCCCGCAACTCCTTAATGGACCGTGGGGGTGGCCAATCCAACATGGCCTGTATCTTACTGGAATCTGCAGCTACTCCAGTCCGGGAAACCACATGACCCAAATACTCCAATTGTTCCTGAGCAAAAAGGCATTTTTTCCTATTGACGTACAATTGGTTGGCCCTCAAAATCGACATAACCCTGTCCAAGTGCTCCATATGGTCCTCCCAAGAGCAGCTGTAAATCAAAATATCATCAAAGAAGACCACAAATCGGCGTAAGAACGGCTTAAGTACCTCGTTCATCAAGGACTGAAAAGTCGCCAGTGCATTTGTCAACCCGAATGGCATAACTAGGAATTCATAGTGTCCCTCCGGAGTTTGAAAAGCAGTTTTAGGTACATCCTCGTCACTTATGCGAATTTGGTGATATCTTGACTTCAAATCTAATTTGGTGAAAATGGTAGCACCACACAATTCATCTAACAGCTCCTTTATCACAGGGATCGAAAATTTATCCGGAACTGTGGCTTTGTTTAGCGCCCTATAATCGATATAAAATCTCCAACTACCATCCTTCTTCTTGACGAGCAAGACCGGGCTGGAATATGGACTCACACTCGGCTGAATAATTCCAGCCGCCAACATCTCCTTCATCAATCTTTCTATTTCATTCTTTTGAAAATGGGGATATCGGTATGGTCGGACACTAATCGGTCCGGTGCCATCCTCAAGGATTATACGGTGGTCCTTCACTCTATAGGGGGGTAATCCGGTGGGCATGTTGAGGGCTGCCTCATGCTTCCGCAACAGTTCTTGTAGCTGCCCTCTGCCCTCCTCTTCCATTCCGTGACCTTGCTCCACCCCCAATTGTCTCATTTCCAAATAAATGCCCTGCCCCTCATGGCGAATGGTGCGCATCATGGCCTTAAGGGAGATCAATGATCTCGTGAGGCTCGCGTCCCCTTTCAACATCACATTCTCCCCGAGCACTTTGAATCTCATAGTTTGAGTCTTCCAATTTACATTCATACTCCCTAAAGTCTCCAACCATTGTATTCCTAGAATTACATCTATCCCTCCCAACTCCAATGGCAAAAAATTCTCAATTATGGTTAAATCCTGCATGGTCAACACCACCTCTTTACACAATCCCTGCCCCTGTACCGACTCCCCCGTTCTCGTTTGAACACCAAAACTAGTTGTAGGAGTTATGGGCAGTTTTAGTTTCGCAACTAAGGCAAGAGAGATAAAATTGTGAGTAGCTCCGGAATCGATCAAAACAATTACCTCACAATGGCCAACCTCCCCCTTTATCTTCATGGTTTTTAGTGTAGTCAGGCCCACCAGGGAGTTCAAGGACAACTCGATCACCTCAGTTTGCAGCAACTCCCCGGACTCCTCCTTTGCCTCGTTCGACTCACTTTCGTCGTTTTCTATCTCGTCCTCATCGCTAACCAACATAATCCGCAACTCCCTTTTTTTACAGCTATGTCCCACAGTGAACTTCTCATCACAACGAAAACATAGTCCCCTATTCCTCTTCTCCTGCCACTCCGAATCAGAAAGTTTCCGGAATGGAAAGTCTTTTTTTGGTCTCTCAACACTATTGCTGCTGCCTGGAAACTGGTTCACTGTGGTTCCCGTTGGCGGGTTCGATGTGAACCCCTTTGCTTGGGGACGCCAACCCCGTGTTCCCCCATTCTCTCTTCGCAACAACAGGTTCTTTTCCTCAATTCGCTGCGCAACGTCCATGATTTCAGAGAGCCCCTCTGGCCAGAGTAGTCGCAGTTCAGCCCGAATATCAGACTTCAAACCATTCACAAAGATGCCTTCTAGGATTTCCTCCGGAATATCCTGTAAAGGAGCAGTTGAAACCTCAAAATTCCGGCGATATTCAGCCACCGTCCCCATTTGCCTGAGCGCTAGGAACCGTTCACACAAATTTCCCTCTTGTGAAGAACGAAAACGCTGCAGGAGAGCCACTTTGAAATCAGTCCAAGTAATGAAAGGCCATCGCTGGTTCTGCCACTGAAACCATGATAACGCATCTCCCTCCAATGCAATCCCAGCTATCGTTAATTTCTCCCTCTCTGTGAACCTGTTGATCGAAAAAAACTGGTTCATCCTAAACAACCAGCCATCCGGATCAATGCCACTGAACAACGGGTAATCCAGATGCTTCCGTCTCACTGGTGAGAAATCCTCACCTCCCCATGGCTCCCCATATTTTCCCAAAAAATCCATGGATTCCTCAGCCTCGTTTTCTTCCCAATACCTTCTTCCTTCTCTTCGGGTATGTCCACCCACTCGGCCCCCCTCGACACGTCCATCTCCTCTCAACCTAGGACCTCCATTCAATGTGCGAACTCCTCCTTCCCCCTCTCCATACCGTCCACCGCGACCATCCCGAAGGTCTTCGGAAGACCCTCCCGCTCGGGCTTCGCCGCGCCGCCAATCGCGGTGGCTTTGCTCTCCGTCGCCAGTCTCGCCCACCCTAGGTCGGCCATTCCAGCCATCGCGACGAAAATCGGGACGATTTCCGTTCGCGACTCGTGCCCTAGCTTGCACGTTCTCCTCTCCGGTGTGATTTTCCCTGCCATCCATTTCCCGTCGTTTCCCCTTTTCCTTTTCCCAAAAGCCCTAAGTTCGGCCATTTCATCCATATGGCGGCCGTCCTCCTCCGCGCGTTCCTCGACTACTCGAGCTAGACCTTGGGTCACTCCATTCTCGTCTTCCCGGACCCTCGCGATTCCCGATCGAGATCCCTCCGCCGGCAGATTCGCCGTCGCCGCCGCCGACAACAGACGCATCTGTTCCTCCAACAATCGGCGCAGGTTTGAAACATTTTGGCTCATCTCGGCCATATTCTGGTTAATTTCCACCCTGCTTTGGCTTATTTCCGCCCTTACCTCACCAATTTCCTTTTCCACCGAAGCCTTAACTTGGTGAATCTCCCTCTCCATCGCCTCAAACTTCTCCTCTGTTTTTCTGGCAGCCATTATCGCCCAGAACAACGCTCTGATACCAAATTGATAAGCTCTGGGTTGTTTGAACAAGAACTACGAGAACTAATTGCGAATGCGTAAGAATGAAGAAAGAATCAAAGAAAGATTATATTGACAACAATCACTATACACTGAATGGCAGAACTTCGAGGGTCTGCTTCCTCCCTTTGCTTGGAATTGTTCCAAGACTTGTTCACTTTCTGTTTATTTCCCGATAACCGCTTTTCCCTCTTTCACCTTTTATACAATTTCCTTCTAACCACCCAACTTCCCCCGTAAGCTAACTAATACTAACATTTCTAACTAAACCACTAATACCGTACTACCACAGCCACTAAAGACAACTTTCCCTGCCTAGACTCTTTTATTCCTCCTAACATACACTTGCTTGAGTAAGGGCTTATCAGTTAGTTGGTTAGTTACAGAAGTTAGCAGTTTGTTAGAATTTGGTTAGCACTTAGTCAGAGTGCGTTAGTAGTATAAATAAGGGGTTTAGTTGTTAATGTGAGGGAGTCTGGCTCATGAAAATTGGGGTAACCTGAGGAGAGTTGGTGGTCTCTCGTCGGATACCACCACTATTAGGGCTTGTAAGATTGTATTGAGATTCATTACTGTTCTTCAATAAAGATTCACTCTTTCAGTTCATTTTCCTTTTGTTTAGTATCTTATCATATAAATATTTCAAATTTTTTTTGTTGATTAGGTACAAGCTATCGTACTATCGGTTTGGAGAGCTTACAACTGAATATGGAAAACCCCCTGGGTAAGCTTAATATCTAAAAAAACAAAAAAAAGGTTATGTTAATTGTGGCAGTAATTATGTACAATAGTTGTTGCTCACAGAAACAGTGGATAAGGAACAGAGGTAGAAAAGAGTTTGATAATTAAGGAAGAAGGTATAATGCCATGCCTATTTCAGATGACGGGGGATAGAATAACAGTAATGATGTGATGACATTTATCTCTTCCTACTAATTAAATGATCTACAAACATTGTTGGCGGATTTTGTAATGCTTTCAATTTGTGCGTATGCCCCATATTGGAAGGGCTTTGCTCCACTAACTGGGTGGTTCCTTACTTTTCCAGAAATGATGTGATGACATTTATCTCTTCCTACTAATTAAATGATCTACAAACATTGTTGGCGGATTTTGTAATGCTTTCAATTTGTGCGTATGCCCCATATTGGAAGGGCTTTGCTCCACTAACTGGGTGGTTCCTTACTTTTCCAGAAACATAAAAATGGTTCCTGACTTTTCCTTGTGTTGATGATGACAGGTATGATCGAGCAAGGGGGGTTGAAATCGGTAACAAGGACATCAAACTTGAATACTTGGAAGAGGCATTTACGACCTCGAATTGGATTGTTCGCATTTACAAAGTGAAACCACCGAATAACAGGTGGTAAGTGATGACTATATTTCTCTCCTCTTGATGCGCGATAGAGAATGACATGTCTGATAATTTAATCTGTGAGTGCAATCCTCTTGAAACATAGTTGTAGCGACAGTAAACTGTATATTTTTGCCAAGAGGTTCTCATATATAGCGGCTAAGACCCTTAACGTGTTCCGGTTCACCTACCTTTTTGGAGACGTTCCTTCTTCAATTTAAGCTTTTGAGACGGGTTTTGTTTTGTTCAAATTAATAGCGCTGAGCAACAGTTTAATGCCGAATTTGACTGGTTCGATTTGTTGTGCTAAGTACGTTGATTGAGTACTTACCGAGTTCTTAACAATTATTTAGCGAGACAGAAAGAGAGAAGAAAAGGCTCCAATGTTTACACTAAATCTAGATTCTAGTGTTCTACTTTCCAAGTTTATCATCCATGCATGCGCACAATTTGGTCAAAAGCAATTCGATTTGGTAAAGTTATTTGAGTAATGTTATCATTTATAAATTAAAAGCTTAAGATACTGCGCTATAGTAATAGAATATTATCTTTTTGGTGTAAGATTATAGTTTTCCATCTTCTCTTTTTCTTGATTTGGTCTTACGGGGTGAAAGCTAGGCAAAGAACACTAAATTGTGTTAGAAAGATGTTCACCTAAAGAAAGAAAGAATTATTTTGAGGATTATTTTTATAGATACCCGTGAACTATGTACTTTGTTTTAGAGTGTATTTTGTAAAATTTAATTAAAAATATTTTAAATTTTATAAATGATGTAATCTAATGTAGTATGAAAAACTTAATTTTTAAAATTAAAATGGACAAATGATTTCAATTTAATGGGTTATATATGCGTTTCCTTCTATATAAAAAATTTAGATAGAAGTACATGTTATCAATTATTATCATGTTGTCGGTGAAATTATTGTGGCGGTGAAATTATTGTGGCACTTAGAGACTATAGATTTTTTTTATTTCAATATAAATAGATCAATTATTAAAATCAAAATCCAATGTGGTCCCAAATAGTAAGAGAGCAAATAAATAAGCAAATTAGATTAATATTGACATCATTATATTTCTACATTTGGCGACACTTTAGCTTCTTCGTAATAACTAAGGAATTTTAAATAAAAGGCTTAAAGAATTGCACAAATATATGAGCCAAAATATGTTTCTTCAAATTACTTTATAAGGATCAATGCAATGACATATATACAAGAAAACTCTAACAATAAGAAAAGACGATTTAGAGCTATATGTTCAACTTACAAATTATAATTCCTTTAGGAAAAAAATACAAATGATAATTCTAAAAAAAGAAAAAAAAAACAGGCATTATCTTCGTGGTCCAAATGGATCACGATGATTATTACAATTTTATGGGAAATCCACGTAAATTTAGGCATGCCCCGCTTGAAGTGAAAGGCTGACTCCACCGCTTATTGCAACCCATGTGCACATGAAGGACAAGTCTATTCTATTTTTATTATTTTTTATGAACTTAACATGTATTCATAATTGCATTGGCCCAAAAATTCATAATGACAGTAACAACCTTTTCATGTTTTATTTAGCAAAATTCCTTTTCATGTTTTTTGAAATAAACTAAAGTAGTTCAACTAACTCTCACTACTAAAAACTTTTTTAAAATTTTTCTTAAATGACTAATTATAATCTAAGATGTTACAATTAATTTTGATTTTACTTTTTTTTTTTTAAATCCCTTATCTCATTGCCCCTATTACATAACTTCACATAAACAACAATATTTCTCTAACAATTTCCAGTAACAGAGCTTGCACCAAGGGCTGGTGACCCTGTTTCAAACTAATTATCATGAAGGAAACAATAAAAATAAACAGACACAAAAACTTGTAGGAATTAAAGTAGTTCATCCTTAAAATTGGTATGCCTATTATCACTGTAAAATAATAATTATGCTCAATAACTCAACAATCTTCCACATGATACTTACAAAAACTACAAATATCGACACCTCTTAATTTTAACACAATTAAAACATGTTTTAAAAAGACTAAAAAACACGCAAAGATCGGATGTACAAA